TTAAAAAAAAAGTTGAAGCTACATTACCTCAAAGCTAAGCAAGTAATTACTTTTTTTTAAAAAAAAAGTTGAAGCTACATTACCTCAAAGCTAAGCAAGTAATTTCATTTTTAAATGGATTCCATGCTACTTTAACTACACTGAAATATGTTTGACGGCAAATCTTGTTTTTACATAATGCTAGATGCTTTGTACAGAATATAGGCATATTTTTGTAAATTATTAACAACATTATAAATACCACCATTATAATCCGATATACTATCTTCCTTCATTCTTGTTTGCCCTATATTTTCCACCTACTGATTTCAGAAATTGCTGCTGAAATTCTTTTCCTCTTCATGGACAGAATACAGCAATTTGCAAAGTCAAGCAAGGATGAAAATGTGATTGAAATGTAAGAGGTTGTTTTAATGCAAATGTTGTTACTGCATTGTAATATTTTTCTAGCTCTATTCAGCTGCTTAAACAGAATATTCTTCATTTTTAGACATTTGCAGACATGGCTATATATTGAGAATATAATTTTAAATATAATTTTCATTATTATATAGCTATCATTTATATAACAATGGAATAATTTTTACTTTTTTATTGAAAAATTCGAATTATTTCAAGGAGAGAGGCATTTCAATATAATTTTAACAGGAAATTTAACTCTTGCTCTCTTTTTTTGTTTCACAAATCAAGTTTTGCATTATTTACAGGTAATAGCTCTCTAGATCATTTTTATTCATGCTGATGAAACTGCCACCTTTTCCAGCATTGTCAGGTTCCATCTGCGCTATTTATACGGCTTGTAAGAGAAAACATTAGCTTACATTTCTGCCTAAACACGAAGCTCTTACACTTTATTGATTGCAGTCTGCAGGTTTCTCTCTTAACTGTGAAGTCAATGACCAGGGTGTGTTAAATGATTTATATCAAATGAAAAGTGATAAGAAAAGTCCTTGAAAACATCATTGACTGTCATATCCATTTGTTAAATGCAACGTGCTGCTAATGTAAGTTTAGAATTGGAAACTAGATAATAAGTACTTAGTTTCTGGCCCAAAAAATATGTTTAAGGAAGTACTAGCTCAGCAGTGGGTTGCTCCCGGTTCGGGCCAGATAGGGCGAAACGGTAGTGGCAGTGGCAGGAGGCTCCACCCACCTGCGCAGATGCACGTGCACTCACGAGAGCGCGCACACAAGCAAACCAGTAGAGGGGGGAAAGGAAACCCTTTTTCTAGCTCCATCCTTTTAAAAAATCTAGGGCCACAATTAGGAAATGCTGATTTGATGTGAGTTTGAAGTGTGTTTTAAAGACACAGGGATATCCCAAAGGAGACAAAGATAAAGGAAAATTTACCATAGCAGCAAGCAAAAACAGGGACTTTTTAGAATGAATTGAAACTATTTTAATTTCTACTGTAGCCTTTCTTTTCCTATAAGAATGATCTTGGAATGACTATTGTAATATTGTGCCATTCTAATGGAACTCTGGGATGGAAAATGACTTTTCTTGCTTCTAAATCCCACACAAACACTTCAGCAGCTATCTGCAAATAATGAAGATGTCTCTTCTAAAGTTATTGTTTGTATGTGGCTTTCCAGATATAAGTCATACCTCATGACCACAAAATGGTTTTGCACATGGAAGGAAAGATGTATCCATAATCTTGGGTGGGTAAGAATGATCCAGTGACTGAAAAGGAAAAGTATTTAGTGTTTACCTGGACTCTCCAAAGTTCATTTCTTACTGATTTGGCAATACTAGTTAGCACCAATTCGCCATCTGAGCCATGATGGCGCAGTGGTTAGAATGCAGTATTGCAGGCTAATTCTCTGCTCATGCAAGGAGTTTGATTCTGACCAGCTCAAGGTTGATCTTTCTTCATCCTTCTGAGATCGGTAAAATGAGGACTCAGATTGTATGGGGCAATATGCTGCCTCTGTATATTGCTTAGAGAGGGCTGTAAAGCACCATGAAGCAATATATAAGTCTAAATGCTATTGCTATTGTAATATGAATTATGGTAACCCATGGCTAAGTAGATCCAAGGTTCTTGATAGAACACTTTTGATCCATTTCCATTTTGCCTTTTTAATTGAATTTCATTGTCTTTCATTGAAAGACAAAGATTGCTTTTGTCATCCTGATAATTACTTTTGTTTATAAATAAAAAGAGTGGAACAGTTTGTATTAAGCTTCCTGGATTTCTCAATCATGATGTTCTTCTACTCCAACTTATGGGTTTGGGGTCTATATTTCCTAATGCTGAAATAGGAATGATATTCTGGAAATTATTCAAGAGATTGCGAGGCATTTCCATTTCTCTCACACCCAGAGATACACATATAGACAAATCAAAAGTTTCAATTTCAGATTTTTGGTATGTTCATGGATTTGGACATATGTATTGCCAAGGAGTAAACTCTTTGCACATTCAGAAATGTAATTACTATTAGTGTTGAATTTGAAGACTGTGAATTTCATATCTGAACTCTTTCAAAGACTGTTTTATTCCAAAACAGTAGTCAACACAAATGCTTTTAGCAGGGGCAATCAAGTATCAGTTCATTAATAAAGTACACCTCTCCTCGCTATATGTGGAAACAAATGGCATTTTAACCAGAACTTGAGATAAACCTTTGCATTTTAGTCATAACTAGACAATCCGTGACTTGCTGAGTCATCATTTCAGAGATATTTCATAATCTAAACAAAGAAAGATAATGACCACAGGCAGGCAAAAAAGCAGTGGGAGCATTTCCAACTTCCTGCCAACTTCTCCATTGACCTTTCTTGTAGGAAGCTGACAAGGAGCTCTGGAACTGATGATCACATGACTGCAACTCACCATAGCACTGTAGTGGCCACAATTATGACAAATTTCATCCCGTGAGACAAAGGTCCCCAGATTCTGGGCACATTGCCCATAAGGAGCCGAGGTGGCGCAGTGGGTAGAGTGCAGTACTGCAGGCCACTTCAGCTGACTGCTATCTGCAGTTCAGCGG